GAGAATCTTTTTTTGAAAAAAGTATGATTAACTTTGGACTTTGAACTTTGGATTTAGTAACTTAAGTTACTTAAGTTCATAACTTCATATATAACTTAAAAGTTCAAACTTTGCAGTTCAATTCAGAACGTCAGAGTCTTCCGACTGGCAGCACCATCAGTGCTCTCTCTCTCTCTCTCTCTCTCTCTCTCTCTCTCTCTCTCTCTCTCTCTCTCTCTCCCCAACGGGCAGCAGCAGCTGGCTCCACGTCGAAACGGTCGCTTTGAAATTGCTCGGGCCTGTGCGAAACCCGCCACCCCAAAAACCTGCAGTGTCTTGTGTCTGGACCTCTAGGCCCTGTACGGTGGGGTGAAACGACATTGAAAAATCAACCCATTATTTTTCTAGGGGCGGTCAGGACCCGATAAACGTCCTTGGCCGCCCCAATTTTTGTTGGATTTTTGCCCCAGAGGCCTCAATCCAGACATATTGTCCAGACACCGGACACCGGAGTGTCCGGAACCCGGTCCGAACGTCCGAGCGGTTACCATGGTCCCTACCAACCCAGACGGTACTGGGAAGGCACCGCTCCAGTCCCGGACCAAACCGTACCGGACGGAAGAGTCCCGGACAGCACCCCGTCCGGTCCGGTCCGGTCCGGTCCGGCTCCGTCTGGTCCGGGGGGAGGGTGCCGGACGCGGACAAGCGGACCGGACCGGACGCTCGTCTGGTCCGTCTGCTTGCAAGTATGCTCCAAAGTGACCACGAGCATTGTGACACTGTGACATCAGAAGTGTGGTCAGCTTGCGGTCCTGGGGAATGCACAGGCGTTCCTCACCTCTGCTGCAAGTATATAGCAGGTCTGAAACCATAGTATATCCTGGTTCAGATGCAGGATCATCCTGGAGATTCGTCACAATAGGCCCAAAAATCGCACCTTGGGGCAGCAGCCGGGCAATGGTCTGAAGAGTCCTTTCTCCAAATGAGTGGGTAAAGGAGATCAAAAAGAGAGCGTCAAGCCTACAAGAAAGGGCATCTGCTACTCAATTGTAGCAGCCCTTCTTATGCTTCAGTTGAAAGTCAAACATGTCGATGAGTTGAATGTAGCGAGCAAGCTTGTCATTCAACTCTCCCTGGGACTTCATCCACTGTAGGGTGGAGTGATTTGAGAAGATCTTGAAGTGCCTGTCCAGGAGAAAGTGCTTCCAATGCTTGAGCGCTGACACAAGAGCATAAAGCTCTTTCTCATAGGTAGAGTCTTGCAGCTTCTTTGTTTTGATCTTCTTACTCATGTACTCTACAGGCTGCAGACCATTCCAGTCATCCTGTTGAAGTACCGCCCCCACTCCATACTGACTAGCATCAGTAGTAAGCACAAAAGGCAAGGTAGGGTCACGTAACTTCAAAATAGGGGCACGAATCAAGGCCTCCTTGAGACGTGTAAAAGCCTCCTGACACTCTGATGTCCAAAGAAAGGAAGTGTCTTTCTCTGTGAGGTCAGTCAGGGGTGTTGCAATAGACGAGAAGTTCTTGATCAACTTCCTGTAATAAGATGCAAGACCCAAGAAGGACCGGACACCACGAATGTTAGCAGGTCGCGGCCAGTCCTGAACAGCAGCAGCTTTCGTTGCTTCAGGAGCCAACCCCTCGCCAGAAATGACGTGACCCCGACAGACCATAGAGGGAACCCCAAACGAGGATTTCTCCCTGTTGATCTTATACTGACTATCACGTAAGGCCTGGAGGACCAGAGCCAGATGCTGCGCATGCTCCTGGGCAGATCGACTGAAAGCCAGGATATCATCCAGGTAGACAACTACAAATCTGTCTAGGTAAGGCCTTAGTCTGCGATGCATCTCTGTCTGGAATGTGCTTGGGGCATTGCAAAGACCGAATGGCATGACCAGGTACTCCTAAGTGCCATACTTGGTCTTGAAGGTTGTCTTGTGGACATCGCCTTCCGCCATCTCAATCTGGTGATGACCAGATTTAAGATCGATCTTGCTAAAGATGGTACACCCCTGCACCATGTCCAATAGATCATCAATGCGAGGAAGGGGCTCTGTAGACTTCCTCGTGAATTAGTTGAGACCTCGATAGTCCATGCACATCCTGAATTCACCATTCCCCTTTGGAACAAAGAGGACTGGTGGCCCAAACTCGAACGTGCGGGGCCTAATCCAGCCCTTGCTGGTCAGGTTCTCGAACTGTTTCCTAAGCTCATCAAGTTCAGCAGGTGACATCCTGTAGACTCGGCCCTTGGGACAGACCGAACCAGGCAGGGCCTCAATCTTAAGTTTGGTTTGCCTATGGACAAGTTCAGTAGGCTCCTCCATAAGATCTGAGAAGCGGTCAACAACCTGCGGAATTTGAGAGGGACAAGGAGCAGTTTCCACATCTGTTTGTTTGACATAAGCCACAAACAGACGGGTGTGGTCAGTTTGGCGCGAGAAACGCAAAACCTCAACCCTAGGAATCCGCCAGTCGATCCTAGGATTCGTGGCACCAAGCCACTACATAGAGAAGACAAGTCAAAGGGAACATTAGGAAACACGTAGAAATTCAGGCGATGCCTGATTTCTCCTTGCTTATCAAAGGTCACAGGTAGGCCTTTGACAGCAGTCGTGATCCTGACTGTGGAAGAATCCCCAATGCGAACCTCTATAGGTTGTCGCAATTTCACTAATCTCTGATCCAAGTCAGGTTGCTGACTGCCTTGGGAGATATGAAGTTGCGAGTAGCTCCACAGTCTAAGAGCCCTTTGATCTTGGCTCCCAGGATAGAGGGTCGAAGCAGGATGAGTTCTTACCTATGTTTTTTCTTCTCCTGCAAGGACAGGAAAAAATCAGCAAGGCACTGAGCATCATCCTCCTCCCACGTCTCATCCATCTCATAGTCTTCAAAAGTGAAAAACCCTGAAGATGCAACTCCAACGATAGAAGAACCAGCGAGAGACGGTGAAGATTCACCTTCATCAGAAGGGGAATCAACACTGGTGGAAGGAGCTGCTGCTTCCACCTCTCTCTGCTTTAGTTTTTGGACTAGAGCTGCCTGTGGACCTGCGAGGCATGCTAGGACAGTCCTTTAAGAAATGGTCCTCCTCGCACCTCAGGCAGACACCCTTGTCATTTCTCTTCCTCCAAACCCCCTCCTGGATCATGAGTGCATGCCAAGGGAAGGTGGAAGGATCAACGGGGTCAGCTGGCCAACGGACGTCGCATGGTAATGGTACTCTCTGGGCTCCAGGGGAAGAGGCACGACCCTTACCTTTCCCCTTG